GACATCCGATAGCCAACTAGTAGTTTCATATAACGCAGCTAAATTCCACTGATGAAAAATTTGCGACGAATCCAAATTGCGATGTGTCAAAGATAACATGTGATAGTTTCCGTTTCTCGTGTACTCCAATTTTGTCTAGTAAAACGCATTTAATATAATATACAAAAATTAATTAAATTATATCACGTTAAAGATAAAGAATACTCGTTATCTATTGATTATTCATTTTCTTTTGTACACATGTAGCTCCATAGAAACAAAATAATCTTTTCATATATATTTATAATTATAAATTTCTGGCTCAAATATATATAATAATCTAACCTGCGATGGTCTCGAATCAAGTGCTTCGATATAAGCTGTTAATCCACAGCTGCCTTTTGGTGGCATGTAAGAGAGATAGTTCAAAAAATGCAGTCCGATTAGGACAAATCGTATGCTTGGCCATGTTCTGTATGTTTGAAAAAAATAGGGAAAATAATTTTTGGATTCTAGATGTGCGTTTTCTAATACATTCAGTAATTCAACATGCATTAATATGGACAGTATGTTATTTACTGATAGTTGCTTCGATGGGAAGACCAAATATCATTAATCAGAGTTTCGTATGACACTGTGCTTTCACAATCAAATATCTTCACTTGCACTTGACTACCTATTTCGGGAAGTTTGACATTCATTATCTATAGAAAAGAAATTACATCTTTATTATATAAATACGCGAATATTTAATATTATTTCGAGATAATATTTACTTGCATATCGGAGGAAGGCGATTTTGTCACTGTATATGATATCGGACACGAATGACAAATTCGCTTTAATTTCGATTTTACATTAGCGCCTCTAATACTAGTGAGCGTTCTAGCATGTGCTGTGATACCTGTCTTGAGATTTCCTACAATTAAAAATATGTTTAAGTATCAAGACATAGTATAAGCTATACGATGCCTATAATAACTTTTTTTAAATCTAGAAGTACATATTAGGTGTACAACTTTGCTTCCGCCGTTTTCCTATAGATGGTTTTAGCGGTAAGTGGTGGTCGAAATAAATATATCATATACGTCATATGAAATCATAGACGTCATACAATAAACTTGGGCATCTGTCAACATAATCCCATAGAAACATTAATCGATTTGTGTCTGCATCATAAAGTTATTCTCGATTGAAAATGTTAGTTTACGAGCCAAATTCTCGTCATTTGCAGGTTTTAATTTTCTGCTTCAATATGAAGAAATTTGCGGCTGAGGCTCATCGAATGCTTTCAAATACCTATGGTGAGGCCGCTATTAGTGAAAGAACGTGTCGTGAGTGGTTTCAACGCTTCAAGAACGGTGATTTTGACGTCGAAGACCGGCATAGCGGTGGAAGAAAGAAGGTTTTCGAAGATGCAGAATTGGAGGCATTACTTGATCAAGACTCGTGTCAAAATCAAGAAGAATTGGCACGATCATTGGGAGTGACTCAACAAACCATTTCAAAACGCCTCAAAGCCATGGGAATGATTCAGAAGCAATGAAATTGGGTGCCGTACGAATTGAAGCCAAGAGATGTTGAACGGCGTTTGTTTGCTTGTGAACAGCTGCTTGAAAGGCCTCGAATTTCGGAAAAAAAACGGCGGAAGCAAAGTTGTACACCTAATAAAATATTTTAATACACAAATATATATATATATATATATATATATATATATATATCGAATGTAGGTCGAATGTAATTGAGCAGTAGTGACCATTAAGTGTAACAACAAAAATTGCACGCGAGTTCTATACAATAGAAATCAATACCTCCTAGATTATTGTATGAAATAAATGGACGTTCTTCGAATCCAATCGTAATGTTAACAGGTAGATATCCATGTAATGATTGAACTCTTTGAGCGCTATGCCACAAATCAACTAACGGATTGTAATTCTCTATTGTCTCAATGCCGTGAACAGATGTGCTAAAATAATATCAAATATGTAGTTATGTGTAAACCTATACAAAAAGCGATAATATTTTTATCACTTTCAAAAACATATTCTAGGCACATGCAGGAATATATAAAACATCCCCAGTAAAGATTTTTACCGTAAAATAACATGATTATTTCGTTCAGGGAAATTGCGTGTAAAATTTCCTCTCATTGAGAAAAATGATGTTGACATCATTGCGAGTCTTACATTAGTACCGAAATCTGTTACTTGCAACGACTCAATTATCAAGGGTATATTTATACGTTGTTGATTGACATGAAATTCCATGTTGTGATACATACGATATATGTTATCCGATAAAGAAGACAAATCTGAAAGATTAAATACGTAAATAAAACGTAGTATGATTTTATATCTTATATAAACTTACACTTTAATCCGTTAATGATACTTGTCTCATTCAAATGAATGCACAACACCGTTTTTTCTTGAATGCGCATAATTGCTTCTAAGTGTACGGGACCTTTCTTCCTTTCATCTAATTTAAATTCTTTCAGAATATCTTTTATGTTTGTCGGATTGTCAAAAGAAGTCGCTAATGAGTGGAAAATACCTTCTGCTTTCACATATAACTGAAATTGCATTGAAGAAGTCAGTAATCAAGTATCAGTATTCACGTTTTATGGTAGTAATGTGAATAATTGTTTGAAGAATATACTCACAGACACATGATTAATGTGTGTTCCACTAGCATAATCATTTAAAGTTACGTAAATTACTTCAGGAATATTTGTCGACGGGTTAGCTATGATAATTCCGTGTAACATAGCACCGAATCTCCTCAAGGAATCTTGGTAATCGACCAGATAGTTACCAGTAACAAGATATTTGCCATTCGACGGTTTTCGGAGTAAACGACTAAATTGTCCTGCGATTCTGCCTCTGAAAATGCGTAATAATAATTAATAAGAGAAATAATACAGTGAATTTAATTAATATTGACGTTTATTATATCGTTTCTCATTAATATATTAATGCTATGTATACTTACATGGGTTTATAACAGGGACAAGTGCTACGTTCCGCAGATTTTAACATCGTGTAAAAGTAATTGTACAAATGTTGGCAGGGCTCGTTTTGCATATACCAATACAGAGATATCAATCTATTAGGAGTAGGGCTAGAAATAATCAGCAAAGTTAGCGCAGCTGCTCTCATTTCCAAATGTTCAGTTCTGTTAACTAAAATTGGCCAATACACAGGATAAATCTGCGCAAGAACAGACAATTATATGAATAATATAAACTCTGGGGATTTTTTTTTTATTAAAACGCGTTAAATGCTTACAACATCGGGCCTCAATGGCGCTGTGGGAAGAGAAGCCCAAGCCGCCAGCACTCGAAAATGTCGCGATTCAGCATTGGCTCTAGCTATAGGCTCCAAGAATTCAATAACTCTGCTCAACTGTATGTTTGCTAAGCCTTCCAACCAAATCATCTTCTGTTCGTACTGTGTAGCTTCTATAATACGCATCAGATAATTGAAAGTTCCATGATATAAATTATACAAATTTTTACATCGAGATAAACAAATTATTGCATACCTGTAAATTTGTCAAGGTATAGACGCACGTAATCGTCTAACATATCATATGGACAATACACCAAACAGGTCTTATATATTAATGTTCCGTATGTGAGGATTGCGGTGTTCTGTACTTCTTTGGGAAGTTTGTTTGGCAGAGAAAGGAATGGCTCAAGACTGACAAGTAATTGAACGTCTGGTTTCCTTATATGGAACGGCAACTGCATAAGAAGTTGGATCGCAGATATATCGGACACCTTGTTCGCTTGAATAAGATCCAATATAAAAAGCGCAGACTCTTTACTTCCGACTTGTGGTAACGCCTCGAGAAACATATTCCTATATAATAATCAACGAATGCAAAGATAAATAACAACTTACTCTAAGGAGTAAGAAAACGGGAAGATTGTCACAAATACCGTATCGTTTCCTCCTTATAACTAGTCCCCAAAATTTGACTGTACGCTTTTCCTAGATCAACACGATCTAGCATACCGAGATAGTAGAGAAGTATGGATATCGTTGTGTTATGTAAATTAGGAATTTCAGTATCCAAACCAGGATTTTCGAGTCTCTGACTTAAACGGTCTAGTAAACGACTTATCTAAATAATAAAAATTTAATTGGAGCACAAACAATCAATTACATCAAATAAACAAAAAAAGATGGACTTACAGATTCGAAGACAAAATTTTTATCAGGAGTACCTCTACCTTGCGTGAGATCTTCTTCTGGTAGTTCATGTTGCAGCACTGTAGTTTGTAAATTATTCATAACTATTCTATTCGTTATATCCTTTACTGAGAATAATTCCATTGTTTGCCTGAGAAATAAAATCTTTAATTTTATCTTTAAATCTTCATTTTACAATAAAAAAGGTTTTAACATATCACATATCAAAGATAATGCAAGCATATACAGAGTGTTCCAGACTCTCCTCTGCATATTTTGTGAGAACGTAGAATGGATTGGGGTGAACATAAAAGTCCCATACCCCTGGTGATAGATCCCTGGGACACCCTGTATATATACACACACATATACATACGTCTGCAAAACGTACTCAACAAAATGGTAGTGTGCCTCTCCCATACTTTGAAAAGGTTGCACGTAAATACCTCCAGACGCATTAACAGAAATAATATCGTGGACGAGTCCATCGGTCGTCAATCTGTACATTCTCTCGCTGCTCTTTAGGACAGGATTCTGAAAGAATCGTAATATAATTTAATAAACTATATTAATCGAGTGTAAGCGATCAAAAGTAAGCAGGATACATCAATAACATACTTGATCTTCATCGGTACATTGTACTTTAGGAACGTTCGACCAGTAACGATTTGAATGACCGGTACACATACGAGGATCTAGCGATTTTCTTATTAAACGTTGATTCTCTCCTTCAGAACTCACAATGTAATCAATATTACATTTGCCATAATGATTTACCTGCAAATTATAATTTATTTTAAGTGTATATATGTACGAAATTATGATTAAAGAATGTACAATATACTCAAGTCGGTGGACATTAAAAAATTCTTACAACTTACTTCACTGGAATGAAATGCAACTTCTTTTTCCAGATTAAAGAGATCTAATTGTAAAATTCCAGCTATACTTCGTTTTATATTCGTTGCCCATGCAGGTTCATCAGTTTCGGTGCTAAAATTCTCGACAAAACCCTTATTGTACGACAATTGAAAAGGTTTCGAGAGTCGGGAAGCATCATCGTAGATATCGATGTCTTCACTCATCTTCTTCACATTTCCATTCCACACACTCGTTTTCAACGATTGTAACTGACAAGAGATACTTGGGGTATTATATAACTTGGAGTATTAAACAAATTCTAATGCAATGAATCTTATAAATTATGTATTTTATGCTAGAAAAAAAGCAAAAATAAATTGACCTGTATTTATTTTAGAAATACCTGTACAGTAGCAATATTATTTTCGGCCTGAATTACGATTTTTCCATTGAGACTCCACGAGGCAGCTGCATTGGACGGCACTAGTACACCAGTATTCGACACAGCATTGTAAGAATACATATATTCTTTCCCGGATCTGAATAAACCTTGCGCAACATGTCCAGTGCTTAACAGCACGAATAGGAATAGTATCTTTCTTAATCTTTGCATGGATCTGAATATAATATTATAATCTACAAAATAAAAATTTTCTTTGTGTTATTTTTGTGTATTTGAAGCGTCGCTCTCTCTATTTCTTTCAATAAAATGTTCGTATTTTTCTTTGCAAAATTTCCATTTATAAATACATTTCGAATACTTTCATTAATCACTTCAATAAATCACTTAAAAAAAATTCTGTAATGAAACATTTCAAAGATAGAAGATATGAAGACCGGCATTCTTTCGATTATCAGTGATATATTATCAATACTTAGCGATAAACCTATTGTTTCTAACAAAATATTTTATAGTATAACAAAATAATATATAACAAAATAGTTTATAGTAAAATTTTCGTTTACTTTGTTTTTCTTCAAAAAATATATCAATATTATAATCTAATGTGCAAGTTATACCTGTAAAACTCATGATGTGCAACCATAGTTCGACGAAAGCGTACTGAGTCAAGAAATGACCCTTATGGTTCTTATCACAGTGACCTATGAATACACACGTAGGCATGTTCATGCACATATATATACGAAAGAATTATCTTCAAACTGTGATGTTGACTCTTCCCTCACAACACAAACATTTAACATACACATCATATTATGTATACTATTTGTTATACATTGAAGGATGTATGTGACATCGGTTTTTAAATTGCGTAGTAAAGACTTATACCTTCCAATATACATAAGGCTTGTATATATAATTACTTGTATTACAAGTAACAAAAAATTTGACATGAAATTTGAGATACGTGTAAAAATTTCTCTGGATAATTAGGAGATATTTAATAATCTCTTGCTTATTTCCTGATGAAACTATTTTACAATATTATTATAGTAAGAATAAGATTATAAAAATAACAGATTTCATCATTTCAAAAATATTCTAAAGACAAGACTCAAACGCTAAAATTGTACTCTATGTACAGGTTTATTTTCCAATTATATATTATGTACAATCATATTTGGAAAGCGTGTCGTCGGTTGTCTTATTTAGTTTATTACTATACAAAAAGTGTACTTTATAGTTGTATATTATACATTCGATAATTTACCATAATGCATGTATGCATATCTATACTGTGTACAGAATGTTGCTGCGCGTTATATGTATAAAATTATTGGTA